CAATCATCTATCTGTTGTTTCCTTGACACATCTGTTGCACAGTTTCATGGCTCTCTCTGAGTGACATACCCAAAACAAACTGTCTCTGTGCCAGTTAAACACTAGACAGGTAGTAGAAACTTGGCTTGTTCACTGGAACAGATGTCGGTGTCAGGCGTTCCTTGTAACTGCATTGTCTTACATTTTTTTGTATTTCCTGTCTGGTTCTCTGTTGTACTCGTTGCGAAATGTCCAAAATATAATCAAGAGAAAAAAGACTTAAGATAAATAAGTACCTGGCATGGCAAATATATCCCTAAATAAAGAGTTAATGGGTGAAATCGCTACTAAAACAGGCAGTATTATAACATCAATTGAATAGTACAGCTACTTTATGTTTAGAAGATGGTCATTAGAGTGATTTTTGTCAATGTTCGCGGATGGATGGAGAAAATGGAGAACCTTGAGGAGCTATGAGAAAGGAGAAACCTGCACCAAACGTTTTCTCGTCACGTCCGTGCAATCATCGTCGTGGAACGTGTAACCGAGGCATTGCTCACCTGCTGCTCTGTGTTTCCTCAGGGGAGCCGGTGACTGTGTACCGTCTGGAGGAGAGCTCCCCCAACACCATCAACAACAGCATGTCTTCCTGGGCCCAGCGGGGCCTCTGTGCTAAAATAGAGTTTCTCAGCAAGGAGGAGATGGGAGGAGGACTCAGACGGGCCCTCAAGGTGCTCTGCACTTGGTCAGAGTACGACATCCTGAAACCAGGACATTTGTATATAGTCAAATCCTTCCTTCCTGAGGTGGTTCAAACCTGGCAGAGCATCTACAAGGAGGACACTGTGCTGCACCTTTGTCTCAGGGTAGGGAGTACAGACACGTCCCCGGAAGAGCCCATATACTCACACATTCCCTGTACTGTTCAGCTTGTTTTCAGTTAGATCTAGTTTGATGTTTTAATGTGCCACTTTTTGAAAGCGTAGTGTGTCAAACAATCCGGCTCTGCCTCTTTAAAATTACACAGTTGTAATCTCAAAATGCATAAGAGTTGTTCGCTATAACGACATACTGCTGAAGCCTAAATTAACTGCCATCAAACATTAACCTAAAAAACTGTGGCTATGACAAAAGCATTTGTTTCTCTGCGTCACTCCAGGAAATTCAACAACAACGAGCTGCTCAGAAGCTGACGTTTGCCTTCAACCTAATCAGGCCGAAGACGATTCCTTATTCACCGAGGTGAGCACGCGTTGAAGAAGGGTTGGCAGAACACGGACGCATAAAATCCCCCCATCTCTTAAAACCGGTTTAATTAAGTTCTTTGATATGTTTTCTCATGATTATAGATGCTATGCACAGCTAAGTCACACACATTGCTTGGCTCATTGTGGTTTGGATTATTTAATTGAGGTAGTCTGTACAACAGGTGATTTACACAGGAACAAAGCCCTTTGTACACCCAACTTGACGAACACGCCTCTGCATTGCACTTGGATTCCCAATGTTTCCAGTCACTATGCTAAGACAACTGTCGGCTGGCTTCGTATTGAACAGAGACACAGTTTGTATTGATCAGGAAGTAAACAAAGAAGTGCATTTCCAAGAATGCAAACCTATTCCTCTAAAGGATCAAGACATTTGAAAACCCATGACATCATCTGATCATGGTTTGTTTTCAAATGTTTCCACAGTTCTAAATGCATGAAAGGTAAAGTCACTTAAGATGCAATGCAGTTGTTTTAAACTTCACTGCTAAAGCCTCAAATTAAATGAACAAAAATGAAACCCGAGTCCTCTTTGTGTTCAGGTTTCTGGAGGTGTTCCTGCTCTACTGTCACTCGGCGGGACAGTGGTTTGCTATAGAGGAGTGCATTACTGGGGAGTTCAGGAAGTTCAACAACAACAACGGAGATGAGATCGTCCCCACCAACCTCCTGGAGGAAACCATGCTGGCCTTCAGCCACTGGACCTACGAGTACACCCGCGGAGAGCTGCTGGTGCTCGACCTGCAGGGTAAAGACCCTCGACACACAGAACCTCTTAAAAAGCTGTCAAGTTTGTTTTAAATGTCACTTTGGTACATGGATGAAACATGAATCACTCATGGAGATGTAGTTCCTCGCATGACAGATGTGTTTACCTTCCTCCACTGTTTACCTCTGCACTTATCAAAGTTATGATGATGATGATGAAGCTGGTGTGTTTGTTGTGTGTCTCTCTGTAGGGGTTGGGGAGATTCTGACGGATCCATCAGTTATTAAGAGCGGTGAGAAGGGGTAAGAGTCCATGTTCTCATTCACACATGTTTTGCATTATTCTTTTTAAATCTTGTTTTGGCTCAATATTGTAAAGCTGAAACAATGAATTAATTGTTAATAATTGATCAGACATTCTGTAGAATTTCTTTGGATTTGACTGTTGCTTGGTCAAACAACAACAACAACAAAAAGTAATTTAAACATAGGCAACTAGAAATTCTGTGACAGAAAATAGTGAAAATGGCTGACATTGTAAACAG